TCTCAACCTGTGCGTCCCCCAGATGTTGTTGGACTACAACCCCCATCATCCCTGAGCTCTGGCCTTGCAAGCTAGGGGTGATGGGAGTTGTAGTCCAACAACATCTGGGGACCCACAGGTTGAGAAAGGCCCTTCCAATTCTACAGTTCTGTGGTTCGTAGGTTTCCAAGCAGAGGCTGGACCAGGCCACCTACCAGGGATCGTCGAGCTGTTACTCCTGCGTTGCAGGGGGGGGGTCAGCCTAGATGACCCCTGGGGGTCCCCCTCCCAGTTCTGCAGTTCTAGGATTCTACGTCATTCCTTTTTGGGGGGTGGAGAAGAGGGGTTTTTTGTTTTGTTTTTAAGGCGGAGCTGCCCTCCCCCCTGGGTCTCGTGCACGCGCTTCCCCACCCCCACCCCCTTTTACCCACCGGAGGGTTTGGCGACGGCGCTGGGGCGGCGCGCGGCCGCGGGCTTCGGGCGGTTCATCCCCGCGGAGCCCCCTCCCCACTCTCGCCCTCTCCGCTTTTTCCCCACACAGTCGAGGGGCCGGCAGGGAGGGAGTTAACGGAGAGGAAGGCGGAAGCGGAAGAGGCCGCGCGTGCCCTTCTCGACCCGGAACAAAAATAAGGCGAGGGAGGGGAGAGAACTGGCTTCCAGGCTTTGGGCTGCGCGTCTCTGGCGCCACCGCGCGGCCGGAAGGGGAAACTGCAGGCTTTTCTCCCCCCTTTGCCGGAGGGGACCGCGGAGCGCCACCTAGAGGTTCGGGATCGTTTAAAGTTAAGCGAGCGGAGGAAACCGTGTCGATGCGAGTCTTTTGCCACCTAGTGGCCGGCGGCGGGATGGCTGACAAGGGGAACTGCGACGATGGGGCTCCCAAGCGGTAGACTTATTGATTATTGATATTTCTTTAATTAAAAAAACCAACCCAACGATTTCCACCCGCACACCACCACCACTGTAATCCATGGGCCAATGGCACTAGACAGGGCTAGCAAAGGGGGCAAATAGGGTTATTGTTTTGTTCTTGTTTTTGTTATGTATTTTGTGTTTTCACCTTGTATTTTTATGCCGTGATCTGCCCCAGTGGTCCAGCCTAGGATGCCTCACCATTCTGAGCAAGGCAGCAGAACGGACACAGATAAACAAAGCTTATGGATGTCACGCAAAACACTTTGCGCCATTGCTATTCTGCAGGTGAGGAAGAGAGGGCTGAGGTTTTTTTTCTGGCCTTGATAGCTGGTGGTGGTGGTGGGAATGGGATAACAGATGTAACCTGTGCTGGCTTACCCAATAGGCAGACTATTAAAGGTAAAGAGACCCCTGACCATTAGGTCCAGTTGTGGCAGACTCTGGACTTGTGGCGCTCATTTCGCTCTATATGCCGAGGGAGCCGGCGTACAGCTTCCGGGTCATGTGGCCAGCATGACTAAGCCGCTTCTGGCGAACCAGAGCAGCGCACGGAAACACTGTTTACCTTCCTGCCGGAGCGGTGCCTATTGATCTACTTGCACTTTGACATGCTTGCGAACTGCTAGGTGGGCAGGAGCTGGGACCGAGCAATGGGAGCTCACCCCGTCGCGGGGATTTGAACCACCGACCTTCTGATTGGCAAGCCCTAGGCTCTGTGGTTTAACCCACAGCGCCACCCGCGTCCCTTTTAGGGCACCAAAAAGAGTAAAATTTGACAGTTGCAGTTCATAGTTCACAGAACCATAGAAATGTAGAGTTGGAAAGGACCCTGAGAATCACGTGTTGTGGGGAAAAACAGAATCTTGCTTGATTTCCTTACGCTCCACACTCTTCCTCCATTTTCCTGTTCTCGTCATTACTTATCCCCACTTAAACCAAGGTGGCGTCCTACTAATACGAATTGAAAGAATGAGAGGAAATCGGATCCCTGCCGTGTGTTGCACATCATATACCTGCATGTACGTTTCAGTGCATGTATAAGTTTTGTGCCGTTTCATAAAACAATTTTGATGCTTTGCTATTTTGTTTTGAATTACATATGGAGTGTAGGCTATGAGCGCGATGCCTGCAATTGTAACCTGAGGCCCTTCTCTGTGTGCCCTCTCAATGGGAAGTCCAGAGGGAGGCAACACAAGAACAGGCCTTTTCAGTTGTGGCTCCCTGCTTGCCGAATGCTCTCCCCAGGAGTTATAGCCATAGTTCTCCATCTCTGCCCTAGAGATGTTGGCACCCAGAGCTGGCCATGCCTCCCTGACTCAGTCAAATATGACAGAGAGTGAAGGGGCAGCAGCCAGGTTCAATTCAGCCACTTCTGCGGCCAACGCAATAACTAGCATTGATTGAGGATTTCTTCCTAGAAAAACTTTTTATTTTAATTTTTATTCAGGAGCACAGTAGTCTAGGGCTTGCCGATCAGAAGGTCGGCGGTTCAAATCCCCGTGTCAGGGTGAGCTCCCGTTGCTCAGTCCCAGCTCCTGCCAACCTAGCAGTTCAAAAGCACGTCAAAGTGCAAGTAGATACATAGGTACCGCTCCAGCGGGAAGGTAAACGCCGTTTCCGTGCGCTGCTCTGGTTCGCCAAAAGCGGCTTAGTCATGCTGGCCACATGACCCGGAAGCTGTACGCCGGCTCCCTCGGCCAGTAAAACGAGATGAGCGCTGCAACCCCAGAGTCAGCCACGACTGGACCTAATGGTCAGGGGTCCCTTTACCTTTACCACCAGCCGTAATTCCAGTTGTCATTCCCAGCAACCCCCAGCTACCAGTGTTTGCATTTAACACGAGAATGGCCAAGCTGCATTTAACATTGCACTTCTGTATGGCCCAGGGACAGGTTTGCTCTCTCATGCGTTGCTCGAGAAGTGGCGAGCGGATCGTGCATCATTTCACTGGGATCCTGAATTTCTGCAACGACGCGCTTTGCAGGTTTGTCGTTTCGGTTCTCTTTGAATATGCCCACCAAGCATTCATGAACTGAAGTGAATCACTTTGAACTCTTTGAAGGTTTGTTTTATTGAGAGTCAATCTGGGTACAGCCAGCCACACAGAAATGGCAGATGCAAAGCCCCAAATGAACGGGTAAAAGCTAAACAATCCGAATGCGCCACTCACTTTGTTTGTTTTTCACCATTGCTGGACTTTCCCAAATGGCCAGAAGCAAAGCAGGCAGCTCCCTGGCTCTGCTCTGCTCACGAAATTGCACGTAGGGGGAAGGAGGGATCTGTATAAAAAATAGTGCAACTGAGCATCCCCCCCCCTCCCCCAAGGGTACATTCTGAATCACTGCAGACACATTCAAACAGGAGGCAGGTTCATAACTAGCCCCAATTCCCTCTTGACGAAACAAGCAGGTGTTGGGATGTGATGCGAGAGGTGCAACCTCCGCAGCACTGAAAGAAGCAAACCTCACCTAAGGCGGCAAAACCCCAAGGGGCCGGCCTTGGGCGAGGCTGTGGGTTAGGTCAACAGTGGCATCTATCGCTTGAGCAGTTCGTGGAGCCCGGTTCAGTTATCGCTGGAAGGCACCTTCAAGCAGAACCTATGAGCCATCGAACAAATGGGGTTATGGCAAAGTGAAAACCCTCCGTTGATCTTTGTGGGTTTAAAGCAATGTTGGCAAAAGAGGGCTTTGGCTTTCGATGTTGGTTTGAGAACAAGATGCCCTGTGCTGCGTACCAGAACTCCGGGTGAGTTCTCTTGGGCTCAGGTCCTGGAGGAATTTTGTTTTTATCGGCTCCTGCACACAGACAGCAGGCCTAAACAGGCTAACCAGAAAACATTTGGTTGGCCACAGTGACGATGCTGGATGGGGCCCGTGGCCTGATCCTGCCAGACACTTCTTATGAACCAGAAAATGTCCGGAATTGAGGCTGAGCCTTGGGAGCACAGTCATACCACACATTTACCACTGTAAATGGCCACCCCCCCCAAAGGATTCTGGGAGCTGTGGTTTGTTAAGACTTCTGAGAGTTGCGAGGGGACCCCTATTCCCCTCCCAGAGCTACCCAGAGTGGTTTAATGATCAATCCCTCTTAACAGGGAATGCCTATTTGTGGAATGCTCTCTCAGAACCCTGAACAAACTCCCAGAATCCTTTGGCATAAGCCACCGCTGCGGAATCATATTGCTTTAAATCAGGGGTCAGCAAACTTTTTCAGCAGGGGGCCGGTCCACTGTCCCTCAGACCTTGTGGGGGGCCAGACTATATTTTTTGGGGGAAATGAACGAATTCCTACGCCCCACAAATAACCCAGAGATGCATTTTAAATAAAAGGGCACATTCTACTCATGTAAAAACATGCTGATTCCCGGACCGTCTGCGGGCCGGGTTGAGGAGGCCGCATCTGGCCCCCGGACCTCAATTTGCCTACCCATGCTATAAATGCATGGTGTGAATGTGCCCCAAGAGAGTACCCAAGCTTTAGTGCCCTCTGCGGAAACAGAAGGGTACTGCGGTGAACATCACCTGCCCCTCTCATTGGCACGGAGGATGAAGGCTGAGGAACCTGTTCTCCTACCTTTGCCTGGCTTGGAGGTGCTGCACTTTCTGCCCTTGTTCCACGTTCGGGTCCTGCTCCCAGCAAAAGACAGCAGAGACCCTGGCTTGCATATCCTCCCCTCCCCAAATCAGGACCCTGGAGGGTAGGGTTATGCTGGACAAACATGTCTCTGTGGCATCTTAGGAAGAAGAGGTCCTCTCCCCCCCCCCCCCAGCCTTGCTATCTAGGATCCTTTAAACCGGGAACACCAGGCACTGGGCTTGGAATGCTTGGCATGCATAGAGTCCCTTCTCATGCAGCGGCAGAGACAGTGCGATACAGGATGCAGCAGCAGCAGCAGCACAGAGATCCTGGGCTACCTTTAGAAACACGCACAAAACTCACGCACACAGATACACAGTTTAGGCACTCTAACCCAGCGAAGGCGGTGGAGGCGTCTCCCTTTTCTGAAGGGAGCAGCAAAGCGTGGGATGGCTTGGCGGGACGCCCATCAGCGTGCAAGAGACCCTCGCCCCATCGAGGGCCCAGCTGAGACGGGGCTTGGGTTTTGGTTTTTTTTGGCAGAAATGCAGTAAAAGCTGAAGCAGCAGGGAGTCCCTTTTCCTGAGGAGACACGAAGAAGAGAGCGCGAGGCTCGGGGCCGCGGAGACCCTCCTAGGGGTGTGCGGCCCCCCCATCCGGAGGGCCTGGACGGGCGACAGATCTGCCTGCCGGCAACAGTACATTCAGACGGCTGGGGCGGAGGGAACTCTGCCAGTCTCACATCCAGTGTACGCTGAATCCGCGGCTGAGGTTGAGCTGCAGGTCACTCACAGTGAGAACCTACGAAGGAAGCGAGATCAGTCATTAGCTGGGGCCTTTATTCCTTTCATTAGGACACAGGCGGCGCTGTGGGTTAAACCACAGAGCCTAGGACTTGCCGATCAGGAGGTCGGCGGTTCAAATCCCCACGACGGGGTGAGTTTCCGTTGCTCGGTTCCATCTCCTGCCAACCTAGCAGTTCGAAAGCACGTCAAAGTGCAAGTAGATAAATAGGTACCACTCCGGCAGGAAGGTAAACAGCGTTTCCGTGCGCTGCTCTGGTTCGCCAGAAGTGGCTTAATCATGCTGGCCACATGACCCCGAAGCTGTACGCCAGCTCCCTCGGCCAGTAAAGCGAGATTAGCGCCGCAATCCCAGAGTTGTCCGCGACTGGACCTAATGGTCAGGGGTCCCTTTACCTTTATTCCCTTCAATAGTTTGCGTTTCTAATAGTTATCCGTCCTGCCCCCGTTTTTCTATTGCAATTTTTTTTAAAAAAAAAAGCTGCCAGTGGTAATCTAATAAATTGTTGGCTTCAAGTTACAAGAAAGGAGATTCCAATTAAACATCAGGAAGGACTTTCGGAGAGTAACAGCTGTTCAACGATGGAGCAGACTCTCTGGACTCTCCTTCCTTGGAGGTTTTTAAGCAGAACTTGGATGGCCATCTGCCATGGATGCTTTAGCTGAGATTCCTGCATTGGACTTCAGGGTGCCTTCCAAATCTACAATTCTGTGATTCTAAGTGAAACCTGCAGGAAAATGTTGCAGTATGGAGTGCTTCTGTTTAGGGTTACAGCCAACCATGTCCTATTCTATCTATCTATCTATCTATCTATCTATCTATCTATCTATCTATCTATCTATCTATCTATATTACATATCATTTCCAACAATCATATGACATATTTTCTTATCTTATACAATGTTTTGGACTTCCATCAACCACATCTGAAGATTTTTCAATCTTTATCACTTAATCTACATTTCTTAATTTCCCTATTACTTTTAATTGTCCTGAACTAATAACTCTCTTCATAATCTTCTCTGTAATATTTCGCAAAATCCTCCTTACAGAACTTCTTGGAGTCCTACTAGCATAATCTGTTTATTACAATTGCTTTTCAAATAGTTCAAATATTTACTCCAGTCCTCTGAGAATCTCTGGTCCCACAGATTTTGGATCCTTCCTGACATCTTATCTAATTCTGCATAGTCCATTAATTTCGTCTGCCATTCTTCTTTCGTCAGTAATTCTTCTTGTTTCCATTTCTGTGCCAATAATATTCTTGCTGCCCATGTCCTAGTCAACGTCATTTCCCTCTCCCACAGACACGCAACATTCTGTGGCCAGCGTGGTGTAGTGGTTAGAGTGTTGGACTAAGACCTGGGAGAGCAGGGTTCAAATCCCCACTTGGCCATGTAGCCTCCTCAGTGACCTTGGGTCAGTCACTCATTCTCAGCCAAACCTGCCCCTCGGGGTTGTTGTGAAAATCAAGTAAGGAAGAAAACTATGTATGAGTTCTCTGGGAGGGGTATAAATGTAAAAATAACAAACAAACATGCTCAGTCTTCATGGGACAGTTTTTTCCCCTTCTCCACTTGGGTCGCCCCACCCCAAATACTCTATATTCTACTTCTGCGAACTTTGGAGTTCCCCAAACCCTGCTGATACCTCCCCCTTGAGGGTGGATGTTCTTGTTTTGGTTGTGTAAGGATTTATCCTTGGAGAACTGAGTTTGCTCTTAGTATATCAGAACTGCAAATAAAAAGGTGGTGTGCTTTTTTGGTTTTTTAAAATTAGAATAAAGCTAAAAACAGTACAGTGACCAAGTTAGAAAACAAAGGCAGTAGAATCATAGAGTTGCCCAGTGAAAAACAAGCAGTGATGGGCCTCTCTTGGGAGGGCATGCCAGATTCTAGGTGCCAACACAGACAAGACCCTGCCTCTAGCACCCACTGGCTGCACATCCAAGCTGCCTGTCGGTTACCTGGTTTGTCAGGTAGGTAAACGGCCTCTCCTTGCCATTGACAGTGACTGTCTTTGGCTCTTCTCGGACCCCGTAGACACTCAGCGCATCCACTGTGACGTACGTGGCTCCCGCGTTGGAATGCAGGACGGTGGAAGTGAATGTGTTCTGGAAGGAAAAGAGAAAAAAGCGGGAACTCCCTGGTCACAGCTGCCTCCCTGCTTCAGCAAACACACTCAACTCCTCTCTTCTCTTCCCCACTGCTAATATAGGATCGATTCATTCATGCCACCCTGCTTCGGAAAGATTAGTCTGTGTGCAGATCCTCTGTGTCCAGATCCTCTGGGGCTGTCGCTAAAGGAAGAGAAGAAGTGATTCCCATCTGATGAGGCCACAGGAAGAGATCTGCTAGATTTGAAGCAACTTCTCAAGGTTGGTTGACATCAGCGGAAGAGAGAGATGGGAAGCAAGGCTCGCTCTACTGGTTCTGCTGGGGCAGGCCAGCTCCTCACCCCAAGGCAGTCATTTGCAAACTTTTTTCTCTGGACCACACTTTGAGAATAAAAAATTGTGCCACATCTTTTTAGTGAGAAGAAATATATTGGAAAACACAATTAGGATTGTTTGCAGTATCACTCGTTGCTCTTGCTCTCATTTTGAAAAGATATCTATCTATATTCTGCAAAAATAAGAATTGATACTACAGTGAGATGTTTAAAATTTTCATTATTGTCCTTGAATCTTCCTGCCACACTTGGCACCCTCTCTTCTGCCACATCAGTGTGGTACGCCACAATTTGTGAGAACTACTGCCCTCAAGCATCACCTTCCCCCAGGCTGCCTCAGGGGCAGAGATGAGAAGCGGGGCTCATTCCGTCTCCTTTGACAAAAGCCCAGCTCCATCAGGTGCCTCCTGCCCCTACTGAGCAATGGTATAAAAATTGGTGGTCCACATTTAATCCCTCCTCATCTTCCTTGTCACTTTCCCCTTGTGTGCCGTGCTATTTTAGATCGTAGACCTGTGGGAAGGGACTGTCTTGTTTTAATTTATTGCATGCAAGCCGCTCTGGGAGCCTTCCTTTTGCCGAAGAACAGGGTAAGAAGGTTCTAAGTGAATAAATACAGTGGTACCTCGGGTTACAAACACCTCGGGTTACAAACACTTTGGGTTACAGACTCCGCTAACCCGGAAGTAGTACCTTGGGTTAAGAACTTTGCCCCAGGATGAGAACAGAAATTGTGTGGCGGCGGCGGGAGGCCCCATTAGCTAAAGTGGTACCTCCGGTTAAGAATGGTTTCAGGTTAAGAATGGACCTCCAGAATGAATTACGTTCGTAACCAGAGGTACCACTGTAGGTAACTTGCTGGTCACACCACAGCAGGGCAAAGAGGCTCTTCTTACCTGTGTGACGTTGAACACTAAGTAAGAATAGTCGCCCTTGGCGAACGTGTCCAGGCTCTCGCCGTCGTCCCAGTAAAGGTCTCCCCAGGCATTGGCGTTCTGCGACAGGGCTGCAATCAGGTGAAGAGCGTTCCCACTGCCCACCGATGTGCTGCCTCCGAGTTTCTGAGAGGGAAAGAGATCAGCGTGTGAAATCCAGATTCACTGAAAGCAGCCCCGACTAGGGCTGGGCCATGTCTGGTTTTCAACACTGTGATATATCACGATGTCTGAAGTAACACTGAGAAAGGCTGAAAAAGGGGCTGGGATGTGGAGGAAGGGAGGCAGGAGCGACCAGGAGGAAGGGAAGGAAGCGGCCTGCTTGCTCGGGCGAAGGATCTCCTGCCTACTTCACAGCCCAGCCTCAGCCTTGGCAGAGGGAGCCTGAGGAGGTGCTCTGCTTGCCTGCATATTTGCCTTCGTCTGAGCAAGTGGGGCAGGCTGCCCCTTTCTGAGAGGGGAATAGGGGCCACCTAACAACACTCAGCAACCTTTAAAAAAAGCTACAGTTCCCAGAATTCTTTGGGGGAAACCGTGACTGTCTGAAATGGCGCCAGAGCACTTTAAACGTATGGTGTGGATACAGCTTCAGTTCATAAATTCACAACAACCATGTCCAATGCCTATTTGATAACAACATTTATACAGTGGCATGCAAGGTATGCAAGGCCTTCTTTCACTGCACATCACACTAAACCGGTCTTTGTGTCTATAATTATATTATTCTAAATGGGGGCAGGGGTGTCAGTCTGGATCATACCCTGGGTTCCTTCCAGGCCTGCTTAGAAAAGGCTACTGAACAAGTTGTAACAGTTCCTTTCTTAAGGGAAAGGTTTTGGCTGGCAGTTAAGTACTGCGATTTAACGTATCCGAAGAGGTTGCTCTGCTGCCATAGAGACAAATGGCTGGGCCTTTTTGTCATCTCACCTGGCAGGATGACACATCATCCTAGGATGGAGAACAAACTAAAAGAGACTGTGTATATGAGGGGTGTGTGTATGTGTGCGTTGGGCTGATGCTGGAAGCTAGAGGCATGTCTTGCTCTGTACATAATATGCACAGAGTGGAACTGTGAATATTATGCACAAACAGCATAATATGCACAAACAGAACTGAGTTCCTCTGGTCTCCAAGCCCCCTCCCTCGCTTCCCTCTCCCGCTCCCATGTGGCCGGGAAGGCAAATTCAGCAGTTAACCACAGTTTGCTGTGCCGTCCAGAGCTAGGCCTGCAGTTCATCTTTGCTGTGGTTAAACAATGAGCTCCAGCAATTGTGGTTTGGCATTGGCTTGTTCGAAAGGTAAACCACAACAAAGCCTATAGGTTATCCTATAGCACCACAGTGGGCAGTATGTGACCACACAGGTGCCGTTAGACCTCAACTCCCGTTAGCACCAGCCAGCAGGGACAGGGGATAGGGGATTATGGGACTTGCAGTCCCGCAATATCTGGAGGTCCAAGGGTTACCCACCCACCCCCTTTTTAAAGAAAAGTCACATGGTGGCAGGTGGAAGAGGATGAAAACTATCAGGCCTCACCTGGGTTGGCAGGATGGTCCCTTCCCGCACATGCACGTTGATGTGGTCCAGAGGTGCAGCAATCTTCAGGTTCTCCCCGCTGCTGTTCACTGAAGAGCCCTGCAGGGGGCAGCGAGAGGTTGAGCTATCAAGTTCATGCCAAGCAGTCAGATTACAGCAGCCTCTGCCAGCCTCCCAGCAGCCCCAAACATCTGGAGCATGGGTAGGCAAACTAAGGCCTGGGGTCCGGATCCAGCCCAATTGACTTCTAAATCCAGTCTGCGGACAGTCTGGGAATCAGCATGTTTTTACATGAGTAGAATGTGTCCTTTTATTTAAAATTGCATCTCTGGGTTATTTGTGGGGCCTGCCTGGTGTTTTCACATGAGTAGAATGTGTCCTTTTGTTTAAAATGCATCTCTGGGTTATTTGTGGGGCATAGGAATTTGTTCATTTTTTTTCCTTTTCAAAATATAGTCCGGCCCCCCACAAGGTCTGAGGGACAGTGGACCGGCCCCCCTGCTGAAAAAGTTTGCTGACCCCTGATCTGGAGGATGCCACGTTGGGTCAGGGCTCTATGAGACACACGGCTGCCTGTTTTGGGTTGCTGGTTTTGGCCTTCAGAGCCCTAAAAAGTTAGACGCCACCTAATCTGGAGGAGATGCTACACTTCCATGAGCCTTGCCCTGCATTTAGAGATCAGCATCCGAGACCCGGCCAGTTGGCCCACCAGCGAGAGTTGTTAGGCTGGCGGGAGCGAGGGACAGGGCTCTCTCAGTGGTGGCTCCACACCTTTGGAATTCCCTTCCCGGGGGGGGGGGGGGAGAGAGAAAGAAATGGCCTCATCCCTGCTGCTTTCAAAAAGAAATAAATCCATAGGCACATTTATTAAGATTGGCTGAACAGTGATGCACTTAAAAAAAAAAAAGAATTAACTGCTGGTGGTCTTTGTGTCTGTAATTATATTGTTCTAAATTGGGGAGGAGGGGGGAGTCAGTCTGGATCAGACCCTGGGTTCCTTCCAGGCCTGCTTAGAAAAGGCTACTGAACAAGTTGTAACAGTTCCTTTCTTAAGTGAAAGATTTTGGCTGGCCAGTTAAGTACTGCCATTTAACACATCCAAAGGGGTTGCTCTGTTGCCATAGAGACAAATGGCTGGGGCCTTTTACCACCTCACCTGGCTGGATGCCAAATCATCCTAGAGAAGAGAACAAACCGAAAGGGACTATGTATAGGAGGGGTGGGTGGGTGGGTGTTGGGCTGGTGCTGGAAGCTAGAGGCATGTCTTGCTCTGTGCCGGACCCCAAAACTAAATTTGGGGCTTCCCTGGAAACCTAAGGGGCCCTTTGGAACTCCCTGCCTATTTAGATCAGGCAGGTGCCTTCACTGCATTTATTTCAGCCCCCACTAAATGTACGTTCTTATTCAGACAAACCTACCCAGATGCTTAGAAAGTTTGTATAGGTTTTGAATTGCTTTACTCCTGGGTTTCCCAAACTTGGGTCTCCAGCTGTTTTTGGACTACAACTCCTATCACCCTTAGCTAGCAGGACAAGTGGTCAGGGATGATGGGAACTGTAGTCCAAAAACAGCTGGTGACCCAAGTTTGGTTTACTTTATTCTGCTGTGGTTCTAACTATCTGTATGTTTTAAATTATGGTTGCAATTTTTTTAGCGATAATTTTATCATTTTATCTTTTTTGTAAACCGCATTGAGGCATTCCCCCTACGATCAAGAGGTATATACTTTTTATTGAATACATAAATAAAGGGAAGGCAAGATCTTCTGGGGTGTTAATGCTGTGAGCCCCAGCAGAGGAATATATCCCAGTTTCCTCTCCTGGGGTAACAAAGACGACCCAAGCAGAGAAATTATGAGACCATCACAGCTGGTCTGACGGGCTGCACGCTCTTACCGTGTAGTAGTCGTACCACAAGCCTCGGGGAAAGTAGCCGATCACCGAATTCACGCCAGGCTCCAGCACCGGAGTCAGCAGCAGGCCCCGCCCCCAGAGGAACTGCCTGTCAATGGAGTAAGTGGCCACATCCTTCGGGAACCTAGGAGGGAGAACAAGCCGCCACAAATGCCGTCAATCAAGGCCACAATCACACCACACATTAAAAGCACCACGAGACCCCTTAAAAAAGCTATAGCTTCCCGTTAAGCGTAATGGCTGCGTTAATGGTTGGACTAGCGTCTGGGAGAGCAGGGTTCGAATCCCTACGCATCCATGAAGCTCCCTGGGTGACCTTGGAGCCAGTCACCATCACATTGCCTAACCCACCACATTACACATTACACATTACATATTACAGAACATCAACAATACAAACTTTAAAAGAAAAGCATACCGACAGACAGCCTAAAAAATGAATAAAATGCATACTGATAGCCTAATAATAACATAATCATAATAACAGTCCCTGTCCCACATTTTCACAGGCCATAGATTATTTAATAGCCATCGGCCCAGGTAAAGAGGAATGTTTTCGCCTGGTGCCTAAAGACATGCAATGATGGCATCTCCAAGAGCTGCAATTCCCAGAGTTTCCTGGGAAGACTAATGGAGTGTCAAACCACAATGGGAATGGAGGTTCTGAGAAGGGAACACGGGCTCCTAACAACTCACAGCACCCTTAGCAAACTACAACTCCCAGAACTCTTTGTGGGAGGAGCCATTGCTTTTTAAAGCAGTAGCACAGAGCTTTAGCTGTGTGGCGTGAATGTGGCTTGGGTGCCCCAGGTTGAAAGTTCCCCTGCCTCTGGCTTAATTGGTTCCTTATTCTGTTAGGGACCTTGAACTTCCTGTGGATACCCCCACCCCACCCCCCAGGAAGAGGGCTTTGGCAAGGCAAGGGAGAGAGCTGCGCCGTTCTCTTAGCCCTGAACCATGCCCGCTTGCAAGCCCCCTGGAAATGGGCACAATTCCTTACTCGAAGAAGAGAGGCCGGGCCACGGTGTCCCCTTGCAGGTGAGCCCGGTGGAAGAGGGAGTAGAGGTACGGCAAGAGGGCATAGCGGACCTCTAGTGCTGTCTTCATGGCAGTTCGTGCGGCAGGGCTGAACGCGGAGGGATCCTGGGCCTGAAGAGAAGGGTGGAAAACAACAATAGGCAAATGGGCTTAAACGGTGGCACGCAGAAGACCAGGGCAAAGGAGGCAATGCGGCGTAGGGGTTAGAGTCCTTGCCTAGGACCCGGGAGACCAGGGTTCCAATCTCCACTCAGCCATGAAACTCACTGGGAGGCTGGTCACTGCCTTTTATCCTAGCCTACCTCACAAGGTTGTTGTGGGGATTGAATGAGGATTGGGAGAACTAGGTGCACCACTTTGAGCTCCTTGGAGAAAATTCGGGGGTGGGGTGGTTATAAATGCAAAAAAAAAACAAAAAAACAAAAATAGTCCAGATTGTGCAGAAGCTTGAACTTTTTTTAAAAAATGAATTAAATACTGTATGTTTATGGAAGAAGATTGGAAGAAATTCAAAGACTATCTGCAGAAATACTGTAAAATTAACGAATGTTAAAATGATGTTGGATTGGAAATAAGTGGCGTTGGTAAATAAGAGTAATAAGAATATGTAAACATGGATTGATAATGGATGAAAATATATTGTTATAATAGGTTATGATAAAAAGTTAAGATAAATGAAAGAAGGTTAGGATTTGCTGAACCAATTATATAAATGGGAATACAAAAAGGGGAGGTGGGAGGAAGTCAAGAAAATAAGTAAATGAATTTACAAGCCTTAAAAACTGGATTGGTTTTTTTTTTAATTTCTCTTTTTTGTTTTTCTGGGTTTGTGTATGTATTTTTTATCTGTATTTTTTCTTAGTTTTTCTGTAATCTCTATCTTTTTTCCCCCAATACTGTAATTTTTTGTTTGTAATTCTTTTTTTAGTTTATAATTCTATGTGTATTCTTTGAAAAAATCTAATAAATATCTTATAAAAATAAAATAAAATAAAATAAATACTGTATGTTTACATTGTTGCAACCTGCCCTGGGATCTTATGGTGAAGGGTAGGGAAGAAATCAAATAAAGAAAACAAACCCAACAAGGATGGGAAGCTAAATTCAGAGCCTTCTTTGCCCTGCTCTGCGTCCTATCTAAGGATCAATTCAGAAAATTGTGTTCTGCATCAGGTGTGACCAAACTTTTAGAAAGAAGGGGCAAAATAATGTCAACAGCATAAAGCAAACTGGGTGATTTGGTTACCGGCACTCAAAGGAGGCTCCCTGTTGCATCTCTGCATGAGCTCATGGCTTCCCAATTGGGGAAGCAGACTCAGATCAGAGACTCATGCAGAGTGCCAGTGGAGCACTCTGAGGAAGACAGGCAGCCCTTACTGTCTTACCCGAAAACAAATCGTGCTGCATGTTAGCAAAGTGTGCCTCCAGTTCTGGTTTTGAAGAATTTTTATGAACGAAAACAAGAGAAGCAAAAAGCTTTAACTCAAAGGGTGTGCAGGGTGGGAATGCAGTAGCTATATGAAAGTTTGAGAAACACTTAATGTGAGTCCCCGTCCTGCCCCCAGCAGCTTCACCTTCACATCCTGGGTGTTGTGGTTTCGTGCAAAGGGGTAGAAGGCTCCCAACTGCATCCAGCGAGTGCAAAGCTCCTCCGAAGTGGAGCCCGAGAAGCCGCAGATGTCTGCCCCGACCAACGGGATCCCAAAGAGGCTGAAGCTGAGCACCCCTGAGGATTCAGGCAGAGGGGAAAGGAGTCAATAGCGGCCAGGCGATTACTGACATTAACAGCTGGCTGAATTTCAGATTAGATCACCACAATGCATTTTTATGGGGCTTGCCTTGGAGACAGTCTGAAACCCCCTACTGGTACAGAATGCAGCCACCTGCCTATGGACACTATGCCTGTTTTAAAACAACGTCACTGCTTCCAGTCTTTTTCCAGGCCCAGTTGAAGGTGCATGGTTAAACAGGTCTGGAAGGAGCCATAAAAAACACCCAGTGATAGTGAAGTTAGCCCTTTATTCAAAGAAACCCAAACAGTGCAGGCCTAGCAATCACAGCAATTGTTCCCGGTAGGTCTTGCCCCAAAGAGGCAGTGGTGAGGACTGAAGGTCCCTGCCTGCCCACCGCTGCCTAAGTCTCCTCCTCCCCAGGGTTTCCCCCAACCAATCTGAGACTGTGTTAGCGTGCAAACATTCTTTCCTCTGCTCTTTTCATTTCTCTGCATGTTCTGGGAGACCGGGGGGGGGGGGAGGGAGCTGGTTGCAGCAGGAGGGTGGGACTCGCTGGCTTTTTCAGCAGCCTGCCTCATCTCTGTCTCCTGGCGGCCACACCCCCTTCTCTCCAGGCTCCACTTCTGTCTCTGTAACTACTATCTTCTGTAACTACAAGCCAAAGGCTGCCTCCATGATCATACTGTGAACTGAATGTAAGTAAACTTCTTAATATTTTAAAGAGAAGGCTGTTGTGTCTTTATTTTTTTTTAAAGGGAATAAAGGGGAATTTACCAGGAACAATCCAATCTGGACAAGCCAGACTGGATTGCTTAACTCAAGAGATTCAAACGAATCTACCAACTAGCTTCCTGCGATATACAGAGAATGTGCTCTACTACCAGCTCATGAGGAAGGATAATGTTTAATCAACGTATCCTCTCCTACTATCCACAACATTCCCATAAGAATAGAGTGCTGGACTAGATGGGCCTAATCCAACAGTCAGACTCTCTGTGCGTCTTTCTGGAGAGCTGTGTCTGCAGCTGGAAAAGAAAACCACTTGCACGTACCTGGGATGGAGCAAACCATGTCCTTCCACTCGCTTCTGTTGTCGCCAAGCCAGTGCCCCGAATACCTGCCCTGGCTGGGGAAGGAGGAGCGGGAGATGACAAAAGGCCGCTTCCCTCGGATCTTGACTAGAGCGCTGAAAGTGGGGGGAAAGAAAGAGGAGACTAGCAAAAATGTTTGCTTGTAAGCTGAGAGCACGGGAAGGGATGCCAGCTAACTTTGGCCCTGGAAACCGGACATGTCTTGTTTGTCACTGATGCTCTCATGCCCCAGACAAACCCATCCACCAAGGCGATGGGAACTTACCTAGCAGTAGCCTTGGCTTCCATCAGCCCATAGAGGTTGTGGAGGTTGTAGTGCACCGATGCGTTCTGCCTGGAGGAGGCACAGATGGTCTTGGCGGAAAGGGAATTTCCCAGTACGGCTGGTGGAGAAAGAGAACGGCTGGTTAGAAGTAGTAAAACAAATCGTGTATGCTTGGCAAACAGGTACGAGCTCCTGTCTGGGGTGGCTGACCCATGGAGACCATCTCTCTCTCTCTCTCTCTCTCTCTCTCTCTCTTCCTATTGCGCACAAACACAGAGGCAGTCACTCAAGGCGGCTATTGTAGGATCATGGGCATGTACAGAAGGATCTAAAGCATCTCCTCTCTTACCGGGCACGTATGGGGGTTTATCCAGCTCTTCCTGGGAACAGCCTGCGGTGGAGCCATCCACAAAGTTCGAAGGTTCATTCATGTCCTAAAGCAAAGAGATTGGGGCCAATTAAAATGTCCCAGTTCACACACTACCCACGGAAATTTAAATTTCCTCAAGCACAGGTCAGTTGCAGACCATGGGACTTGCCCTGAAGCCAACACGAGCATTTTAAGCGCAACATTTTTTCGTGTTTCTAAGGCACAAATATCTGTGTTTGTTCAATGTGAATGTAGCCCTAAGGTTATGGCCTGACCATAGGTTGCGAAGCAGTGAGGGGTGACCCCCAGCTCCTTAAACAGGGTTGACTCAGAAATAAGCCATGCTACTCCCCATCCCGTCTGCAAAAGTGAAAAATAACTTGGCTTATTTTTGAGCTAATCTGAATTTGGACTGGAGGCCACCAGCAGCAGCTCTGACTCCCAAGCCTCCTTCCCTCATCTCCCCATAAGCCTCCTTGCCTGCCCCCTGCTCTTTCTCCCCCCTCTTACTTCCTTCCCACCCACTCACCTGCCCTCCAAACCCCTTTTTCCTGCCCCACACGGCTGGCTGCAGCTGCTGACACTCTTAATTTTTGGGGAAACAGGAGTAGGGAAGAGAAAGAGGTCTCTTACCACCTCCCTCTGGTGCCGCATCCAAGAAGCCCACAGGGGAACTATTGAAATGCCTCTTGGGAGAAATTACATTTGCCAGGATAAACTTAGGGGCACATTTATTCAGGTATTTATTGTGTTTCCATCCTACTTTTTTCTCCGAGGAGCTCAATGTGGCACACATGGTTCTTTTCCCCCTTCCTTGTTTAATCCACATAACAACCCTGCAAGATAGGTTAGGACAAGAGGCAGCGACTGGCCCCCAAGGTCACCCTGTGAGCTTCATGGCCAACTGGGGATTCGAACCCCAGTCTCCCAGGTTCTAGTCTGACACGCTAACCACTAAGCAACACTGCCTCTAAGAACCTGCCTTATACCAAGTCAGACCACTGACTCACCCAGCTTAGTGCTACCAGCAGTGGCTCTCCAAGGGATTGAACCTGGGACCTTCTACATGCAAGGCAGGTGTTTGGCCAATAAGCTATGGTCCTTCCCCCAGCCTTGCGCCTGGTGTGCTGTTTAACAGCACCCCTGGCACTGGGCTTTAATGTTTAGCACCCACATTGGGTCAGAGGAGCGTGGGATGTGATCCATGAGAGGCAGTCAAGTACAACATTCCTTTTAATACTAGAGAAGACATGTGAGGGAAAGTTTGTTCCAGCCAGTCGAAACTTCCTTGTTTCTTCTGGCTGGAGCATCCTTCCGTTTGTATGTGATAGGTGGGTGTGACCTAACCTGCCCATGTAACAAAAGGACAAGTTATGCAGCACCCTTCCCTCTTTTTGACTTCCTTCTTCGTTTGACCAGCTTTTAGCTAGGACTGCTCTGCTAGCTCTCAGCTAGCAGAAGCACTGGGATTATTCCCCCATATCGGGGAGATCCACATGTACATATTTGCAACTAAGTCTGCCTTCAGGAATCCAACTGTGAACTGATGTGAGTAAACTTCTTTTGTTGACTTTGAACAGGATTGTGGTGTCTTTATTCTTTTAAGAGGGATTCAAGGGAGCATACCAGGAACGTACAATTCAATCTGAGAGAGACTGATTGTATAATAGTGAGAGGCACACACGAGCCTGCAACCAGCTATCTGCTGTGCAGGAAAAGGGGAATGTAACTCTGCTAAGTAAAGGAACTTGCTAGCGCAAGTTAGGAAGGATATTAATAAACAATATATCCTTTCCTGCCACCCTGAACATTCCCACAAGGAGTGATTAGAGTGACAGACTTTGACTTGGGAGACCAGGGTTCAATTCCCCACTCAGTTATAAAGCCCACTGCGTGGCCATGGACCAGTCTCTGTCTCTCAACCTAATCTACCTCGCACGGTTGTTGCGGAGATGCCACGAGGAGTGGCAGAAACCACGTACCACACTCCCAACTCCTGGGAGACAGAGGTGGGACATAAATGCTTATAGGGACAGAACGGCCTAAATTGCATAGAAACTTATTCATGTATGCTACTACAGTAGCTAGAATGTCACTTGCTTCAAAATGGAAAGAAGTAAGAAGTCCCAGCAAAGGGAGAATGGATACAAAAACTTATGGAATACGCAGAAATGGCGAAACTTACTGGAAGAATAAGAAATCAAGATAACAAACTTTTTAAAATAAAAGAATGGAAATGGTTTATTGAATATTTGCAGATAAATTGTAAGCAGATAAGATCATTGGCAGGATTGTTGTATTAACCTGCAGCTTGATAAGCGTATATACTTAAAGCAGATAAATAAATGAGCAAATTAAGGAAAATATGGATATGCAAAGGATATTAAAAATAAATTTAAGGAACCACAGAAAGAAGGGGAAGGAAGTTAAGTTTTGAAATGTTAAAATGATTGTAAAATTAGTGAAATGTATAAACTTGAAAAGTATAAATAAAATTTGAAAAACTGGGAAAAAGAGAGTAGATGACCCTTTGGGTGATTTCCAGCTGTACAGTTCTATGATTCTAATACTCATCACCTCTCCTTTTCAGTGCCCACTCAACTTTTTTCTGTTTAGAAACTGAAAAAGATTGAAGAAGGAACTTACAATCCAAAGGCCATCGAAGGGGACGAGGGAGTGGAATCTGTCCAGGTTTTCCAGCCACCACTGGTGAGTGTTTAGGTTAGAGAAGTCGGGGAAAGCGGTGAAGCCAGGCCAGACCTAGGGGGTGGGGGACAACAGCACAAATCTGATGGATAAAATTCAGGCAGAGTTGAACCCAATCAACTTTCTGCATGGGGTGCAATAGGTTAGCGCCTTATCCAGCCCACCAGGCTTACCCGTATATATTTTTTAAATTCATGTTTACCATCTAGGCCAGTAGTTGCCACCAGCCTTTGGGTTCCATAAAAGTACCCCCAGTGATAATACCCTGTACTGAGAATAGCTCTTTGTACAACACACTAAGGAAGATAACAATACAATAAAATTCAAAACAGTAAATTGAAGAGGCAAAACGCCACCCCGCTCCTTTGCTCTCACCTTCCCTATCAGAGGTTTTCCTTGGGTGCTGTTGATGAATATTCCACGCTTCAAGCCTTCATCGTAAGGCCAGTAAGAGCCTGGAGGTTGGGTGCTGCTGATTCCTGGGTCCTGGGGGGAAAGCAAAAGGTGGTCAAGCAGGCTAGGGATCCACACAGCAGTGAAACCAGCCTCTTGCACCAAATGGATCTTTGGCTACCTGCTTCAAGAAAGGCAGGAAACTCAGATGTTCTACTGGGCTAGAGCAGTGGTTCCCCAACATTTTCAGGCCACTGCCTCCTTGTTTCCATAATGTCACACACACCCCCCATTGTTCATGCAACTGTATGTCAGTCAGGTGGAAAAGCTCTATAGCGCGGGGGGAAAGCACACATCACTAAATACCGTAAAAGGCCATTTGTAGGGAGAACAGGGACCTTTGCTGAAAAGTACTTCTGAGCAAACAGGATTTTGTCCATGGATGAAGGACAATGCAAGTTTTTTGGGGGAAGAGAATGCTATATTTAATGCCACATGGAACCGCTTTTTCCATTCTCGCTTCTAGATTGCATTTTGCCGCCATGGCTAAATAAACAAAACACACAGGATTTGGGAAATGCAAAGCTCTAAATAAAGCATCCCAGCATAGCAGCAGCCTTTGATGAAAGCTACACCAGAGCGACAGGATGTTACTTACCTTGCCTGAAAAAGTTAAATCGTACCTTGGAATTGCACATTTATATTGCTGGAGAAAGAAAGAGATGAGAAAAGCACAGAGAGGTTACCAGAATCATCACGTAGTGCTGCCCATGTTTGTGAAGGTCTTCCACCAACTGGGGGAGAGTGCCAAACTTCTGGGAGTCGATGGTGAAGTCTCGATAGCCATCCATGTAGTCAATATCATTCCACTGGGCAGCCTGCGAAAAGAAAGCATAGATATTATAGAACTGTAGAGCTGAAAGGGAATCTGAGGATCATCTAGTCCAACCGCCTGCAATGCAGGAATATGCAGCTGCCCCATGCAGGGATTGGACTGGGACACTGGCATTATCAGTACCATGCTCTACTCAACTGTGCTACCTCAGCTGAGAAAGAAATAGTGTTGGATCAGAACTGCAGAAAGCTACTAACAGCACAATCCTATCCATGTCCACTCAGAAGTAAGGTAAAGGTAAAGGGACCCCTGACCATTAGGTCCAGTCGTGGCAGACTCTGGGGTTGCGGCGCTCATCTCGCTTTATTGGCCAAGGGAGCCAGCGTACAGCTTCTGGGTCATGTGGCCAGCATGACTAAGCCGCTTCTGGCGAAGCAGCGCATGGAAACGCTGTTTACCTTCCTGCCAGAGCGGTACCTATTTATCTACTTGCACTTCATGCTTTTGAACTGCTAGGTTGGCAGGAGCAGGGACCGAGCAATGGGAGCTCACCCTGTCGCGGGGATTTGAACCACCGACCTTCTGATCGGCAAGTCCCTAGGCTCTGTGGTTTAACCCACAGCGCCACCAGCGTCCCTCCACTCAGAAGTATGTCCTATTAAATTCAGTCTTATTAAATGATTCAGTCTATTCAGTGCTATTAAATTAACTTACTATCAAATTAAGTTAAATTAGGATTGACGCCTTAGCTATTAAACACACTGGGCGACCTTAGGCGATTCACTCTCTCAACCTAACCTACTTCACAAGGTCATTGTGAGGCTAAAGCAGAAGGGAGGGGTGTGTGTACTGTCCTAAGAATGTAAAACGAGCCTGCTGGAGCAGATCAGGGGCCCACCTAGTCCAGCATCCTGTTCCTGGCCAACCAGATGCCTGTGGACCCGCAAGCAGGGTCCAGGCCCAAGAGGCCTCTTCTCTCCTGTGGTTCCCAGCGACTGGCATTCGAAAGCATTGACAACCATTGGCCAACAGTGTGCTCTGTACACATTAGTGCTGCAACTTTTCATCTGTTATTTGTCCTGTTTGATTGTCTCCATTGCTTTTAAAAAGAAAAAAACAGCTTACAACAGGATTTCAGACAGGAGTCTTAACCAAGCCCTCCTTGGGAGATTCAGGATTTGAACCCGAGACCCTTTGCATGGAAAACACCATGTGCCACACCCCTGACCTAAATCAGCAAGCTTCTCATTCTGGAGGGTCCCGGTTGATGTTTACCTGCGGGATCTGAAAATTCCTCATGGCCTTGACGATCTCCCAGGTCTCGTTGCTTGTTCCATAGCCCCAGCGGCAGAGATGGAAGCCTAATCCCCAAAAGGGAGGCATGGCAGGGAAACCTAAAACAAAAACCAGGAAAGTGTTAGGTGTGCTGCCTCCTCTGCCCCAGAGCCACACTCTTCTTCCTCCTGTGCCTTTTGACTCGTCCAAGTCGGAGTTTACTGCTTATTTGCAGTTATTTGCATTCTGATTTAATCCACGTAGTCCAGTGTTCTTTGTCATGGTCCAGTTTACAGGCGATCGAAGTCCCGGCTGAGGACGTCGGGATCGGAGACAAGATGGTGGGGTGGGAGCAGGAACGAGAGTCCAGAAGCCAGGGATCCGAGGGTCAGGAAGCAGGGAGTCACAAAGTCAAGGGTCCGAGGGTCGAGAAGCAAGGAGTCAAGAAGCCGAGGTCCAAGGATCAGGAAGCAAAAAGCCAAACACAGCAAGGCGGCAAACGAGTTGCTGTGGCCAAGAGCCGAAGGGAAATGCTGACCTTCTATCCCTTCCCGGCTCTTGCCACCAGGTGTAGTGAGTTACCAGTCGGCCTCACCTGTGTGCCTTGCCTCTCCAGAACAAACTTAGGAAGGCCCCAGCCCTGCAAAGCCCGACTGGTCACAGGGCCTGGCTCCTGCACACACTCCTGACATTCTTCAATCTTGGGTCCCCAGATGTGGGTGGGCTACAACTCCCATCATCCGCAGCCTGGTGGACAAACATGATGGGAGTTGTAGTCCGCCCACTTCTGGGGACCCATGATGGATGAACACTGTTGTAGTCCACATGACAAGAACCTCAAACAACACCAATCAGCATGATTCACGTTTACCCAGTGCAGGGATAATCCAATACGTTGGGGGAAATTGAGCTCTGAATCACTGCACTTGGGGTCATAGATGATTTGTTTCTGTGTTTTGGAGTGGGTGGATCGACTGTCACCTTCTTCTACTCCTTTTTCCACGCCCACTGCTTCCTCAACACTCTCGTTTCTTTTTGTAACTATTTCCGCTATGCATGTGTCACTGACCATCCACACGTCACACCCCCCCCCCACTTTATTAGTCGTTCTGCCATGCTTCCCCAGTATTACAGCATTGTTTCCACCTGGAGGGGGCGCTCTTGCATTATAGCATAATGAAAGCAGGGCAAACCAGGAATGTTTGTCATGTGAAAAATTGCAGGAGTTCAGCAGGAAGCTGTGGGATTGGAAACGAAGCAGGGTGCCTGCACCCAGACTGTTTACAGACTATCAAAAGCACAAAGCACAATAGACAAAGGGAAGTTTGGAGGAGCCTATAGATACTCAACATGAAAAAAACTAAGATCATGGCCACTGGTCCCATCACCTCCTGGCAAATAGAAGGGGAAGAAATGGAGGCAGTGAGAGATTTTACTTCCTTGGGTTCCATGATCACTGCAGATGGTGACAGCAGTCACGAAATTAAAAGACGCTTGCTTCTTGGGAGAAAAGCAATGACAAACCTAGACAGCATCTTAAAAAGCAGAGACATCACCTTGCCGACAAAGGTCCATATAGTTAAAGCTATGGAAGTGAGAGCTGGACCATCAAGAAGGCTGATCACCAAAGAATTGATGCTTTTGAATTCTGGTGCTGGAGGAGACTCTTGAGAGTCCCATGGACTGCAAGAAGATCAAACCTATCCATTCTGAAGGAAATCAGCCCTGAGTGTTCACTGGAAGGACAGATCCTGAAGCTGAGGCTCCCATACTTTGGCCACCTCATGAGAAGAGAAGACTCCCTGGAAAAGACCCTGATGTTGGGAAAGATGGAGGGCACAAGGAGAAGGGGACGATAGAGGACGAGATGGTTGGACAGTGTTCTTGAAGCTACCAGCATGAGTTTGACCAAACTGCGGGAGGTAGTGGAAGACAGGAGTGCCTGGCGTGCTCTGGTCCATGGGGTCACGAAGGGTCGGACACGACTAAACAACAACAAAAATAGATACTCACCAATCACCTGCTGGTACTGCTGGAGCACCAAGTTGGGGTCTGGGCCTAGGAAGATGTAGAAATCCAGAATGCCTCCAACGGGTCTCCAGGTGAGGGCAGGTGCAGGCTGAAGCACCACCTCTAGGCAACAAACAGGAAAGAAGAAGACTTAGGGTTTGTCCACAGTTCTGCTTGTGTGGTTTTCCACCTGCCCCACTGCTTTCTCTGAGAAAACCAGTGCTGAATCAGAGCAAACATCAATCCACAGAAAACCCAATTGACGTTTGTTCCAATTCAGCAGTAGAGAGTGTGTTTTCCCCGGGGAAAGTGGTGGGGCAAGTGAAAGTGTGCTCTGTACACATTAGTGCTGCGACTTTTCATCTGTTATTTGTCCTGTTTGATTGTTTCCATTGCTTTCAAAAACAAAAGGAAAAAAACCGTTTAAAAAAATTTCAGTATTGCTAGGCTTCGACAGAAAGGTGATGCATAAATATTTAAGCAAATGAATGAATGAAGAAAAAGAAGTATTGAATTCAAATGGGCAGATCGTTGGGCAGAAGGAAGCTGGGAGAAATCCACAAAAACGGGGAGAATAGAGAAGATCTGTACTTGGTATCCAACAGAAACCTTCTTTACGGCAACTGATATTTAAATTTATGGCTTTGGATATCCTTCAACTCTACAGTTCTTTAAAGGGCATTTTTTAAAAAATTAAAATGCTGGAAATTGCTGGAGGTATAAAGGACTGGCATCACTGGATCAAGTACATCAATTCTGTTGAATTTTTAAATTGGCTTTTCAATAAATGTGCAATTAAGTGCTACTGTTTTGAATTTTATTGTGTTGTTATCTTTCTTAGTCAGTTGTGCAAACCACTATTATATGAAGGGAGGCAATGGGGATGACATTATGGATCCAAGCTGTCAGTGGCCCCAAAAAGTCTGGGAGCCACTTCACTAGTTCTTAAGAGCCCTCAGGGACACACCAAGGTCCCTCTTCTCCCTTAGTCTTCATGGCTTTGCCGACACGATCTGTGTCTTGGAAGTACTTGGCCAAAAGGGTGCCTGTAGCCCTCTCAGCTGATGCAGGCCACCTGCCTCTCCCTCTCTTTTTCTACCAGCCACTCTGCAGTCTCCATGCAGTCAAAAGGCCAAATCCCTTGGAGAGAAGGTCAGAGACAAGACACAGCCAAGGAGGGTTGAGAAGCAGCTGGCTGTGAAGGCAGGGAGCCAGCAGCTGCAAGATGCGGTTAAACCGCCCAGCGGTTGCTAAAGAGCCCGCCTCACAGCAGGAAACAGATGGCTCTTGCCTCCGTAAAAAGCCCCTGCTGCACCTCCAAAACTCCATTTTCCTCCTTTACTTCGAAAGCACTGACTCAGATTGGCTTCCCGCGCATCTGAAGTCCATCTGATTACCTGAAAAGCACGTGTCACCTGGAATTTTTTTTAAATACAAACCCCTGAAGACGAACCCACTTTTGACCACCCTCTGACTAGTTATTCAAAAGAAGTGAGCTTACAAACATTTTTCTCTTTGCTTCCAGTGAAGAGCCTGAAACTCCCTGGTTTTCTTTATTCATCGCCTTCAAGCAGATCCACATGGGCAATGCTCAGAACGTTCAGATTGGTTTAAGTATCTAAATTATTTCACCCCAAAAGGTGCCAAGGGGACACGTACCCATTGCGTTGCTGTTCATGAGGAATACCCCATGGGAAGCTCCGTCTCTCTCCATGGCAAGGTAAAAGGGGTGGACGCCGTAGAGATTGAAGGACTCCTGAAAACAAAAAGAAGTCAAGACTCATTTTCAGCCAGCACTTCTTAAGAACGCAAGAGGAGCCCTGCTGGATTGGGGCCAATGGCCCGGCCCGTCCAACATCCTGTTCTCACGGTGGCTGACCAGATGCCTCTTTGGGGGAAACCTGCAAGCAAAACCCAAGCCCAAGATCCCTCTCCCAGTGCCTGTAGCCAGTGTGGTGTAGTGGTTAAGAGCAGTAGACTCGTAATCTGGGGAACCGGGTTCGCTTCCTCACTCCTCCACATGCAGCTGCTGGGTGACCTTGGGCCAGTCACACTTCTTTGAAGTCTCTCAGCCCCACTCACCTCACAGAGTGTTTGTTGTGGGGCAGGAAGGGAAAGGAGAATGTTAGCCGCTTTGAGATTCCTTCGGGTAGTGATAAAGCGGGATATCAAATCCAAACTCTTCTTCTGCTGCTGTGGCTCAGGGTCCTGCTTGCAGATAGCCCAATAGATGCATCTGGTTGGCCACTGTGAGAACAGGATGCTGGACTAGATGGGCCATTGGCCTGATCCAACAGGCTCTTCTTGGGTTTAGAGAGGCAGCCAGACATGATAGTCCAGCAGCCTGCTTCCCACAGTGGCCAACTGGATGCCTCCAGGAAGGCTACAAGGAGGAGATGGAAGGCAATCATTGGATGGACCTCTCTGGGTTTGCTTGGTCACAAAGCCATCTAAACTGATGGCCATCGACTGTGGCAGCAAGTTCCACAAGTTAACTATATGTATGGAGCAGAACCTTCTTGCCTCTTCCCTGGGTCACATTTATGGAGGAGTGATGATCCCGACAGGTGTCGGTGATTACAAACATGGGGCCTTATGGGAACATTGGCTCGTGGGGCAAACAGCCACTTTGGGGGAGGAGGGAATTTTAAATGGGAAAGCAGCCTGAAGGGGGTAAGGTTAACCCCTCTAACACAACTGAGGTCCTGAATTGAATTGGGGACTCAGCAGTTGTTATTAATCAACTTTTTTATTAAAAAAAAAAAGAAGAATGGGAGAATCTGATCTACCTTTGGCCAGGGGGCAATAAAGCTACAGCATGACTGAAAATAGTTAAGCACCCCCCCAATCTTGCACAAAAGGTACCGTAGGAGGGACATCTCGGGCCCAGAAGGTCAGGGTGTTCCACTCCAGACTATGCAAGAAGTTGCTTCGATGTTCCCCCAGTCCATAAATGAACGTGGATGGAAGGACTGTAGAAATCTGCAGAAACTGATCAGCAAAGAACAAGGGAGCCACTGTTGTGTTCAACCTAAATAAGAGAGGGGAAGAGATGTTAGGAAGGACAGGTGGTGAGAAAAAGGCTGTTTACCTATGTTTCCCCTTGCCAAAAGTGTTTCTAGTCCTCATGGCTGAACAGAGAGAGTAGCTTTAAAATGTGGTGGGATACTAAGTCAAGTTCAAGGGAAGACCCCTCCTTCCAGGAGAGGTCCTGCTATAGGCCTGTTTCACACACTACTTTATCAGCCTGGAAGCGGGACGTGAATTTAAGAAATGAATAACAAACACATAAATTCAGAGGCAAGAGTTGGATCCTTACAGCACAGTCCCCGAAGATTTCCGCTTCACTATCAACCCAAAGGGCTCCTTGGAGAACTCAATGGTGTACAATGGATTCTCCGCTCTCTTGGTTGCTGGAGGAACATCAAGGGGCACTTCGTACCGAGGCTTTGTGGCATCAGTGATCTACAAAAAGGGGACACATAGACACACTCAGGTAAATGGGAGGTGCAAGACATTGCGAATGTGCCAAGGGCTCAAGCTGAGGCCAGGATCCTAAAGCCGCATGTGAGAGTGAAAGGAGGTCTCCAATTGCAACCACTTAAGACAGCTTCTGCCAACATGAGGTCTTCCCAATGCCTTGGACCACAATGTCCATCAGCCCCAGCCACCATGGCTGCGCTGAGTGGGGCGGATGGGAGAGGCAGTCTCTGACAGCCGACACTGAATAAATAAAAAAACAGAATGTACAGTACGGTCGCATCTTGTGCAGGGGTAACACAGGGATGAAGTGTATACACAAAAACATGTATACTTGAACCACCCCCTTGGAACTGCCCCCCTCCCTCCAGCAAGGCAGAGAGCTTAAAAGCTCTTTCTGCACCCGCCTTGTGTACAATTGATATGCACAATTTCAACCAGCCAGCTTTCAACCGCACAAGGTTGAAATCACACGAGTAAATTGGGCGTTAAGTTGCGGCTGTACTGCATTGTTTGTAAACGTAACGTGTTTGTGTTAATGTATCTATGTTTGTTTTAAGATGTGTTGTCAGTTGTCTGGAGTCCTTTGGGTAACGTGCAACTGCCAAGTATTCATTACCGTTATTATTATTATTAATGAATATGAATAATAACAATGATAATGATTATGGTGATAATAATAATAATAATAGCAGCAGGCTGATGAAGGCTGACTGAAGACCAGCAGCCTGATGAGGCAGGCACGGTCCGTTAGCTTTCAAAAGCATTTTTCATTGCGCAAAACTAGCATTTCCTGCATGTACAAATCTCCCATTTTCCGCTGCCTCTCTCCCTTCCGAATGCACATCCAGCATGAACATCAGGGTATGTGGGAAGTCAGATCACTGGCCCATCAGTTTTGTCTCCTTACAGACTAGGGTTTCAGGAAGGGGTTTTCCGCAGCCCTACCTGCAGAAGCTGGGGATTGATCCTGGGAACTTGTACACCCCAAGCAGATACTCCCCCACTGAAGTACGCCCTTTCTCTTCTTCCCCAAGGCCCCTGCCCTGAAGGGTTCGTTGCGCCCCAGTACTGCCCAGCTGAAAATAGCAGAGCTGATCTGGGTGGGGAGCCAGTGCACACCCACCCTCAGGTGTTTTGAGAATACAACTCCCAGAATCCCTGTCCACTGGCCATGCTGCGAGGGGCTGATGGGAGCTGGAGTCCAACAACTGATTCTCCAGCCCTGGAATAGACAGCATGCAGAATCAAACATATGGCTCACGCTTTTGGAGCTAGTGAGAAATCTTTGCCTGTTTTCATTTCAGTGCACCGTAAACTACTTGAATATCACTGAATATCGTGATTTATCATTTAATCTAGCACAGGAACGGTGAACTTGTTGCTCTCTGGATGTTGTCAGGCTCCAACTCCCATCAGCCCCAGCCATCATGGTCAATGGTCAGGCATAACAGGAGCCTGGCAACATCTGGAGGGCCCCTGGTTGCTCAACCAATTTGATTTGAATTAATTTTATAATGAAATGATTTTAGAATGTTGTATTATTTTATTGTTAGCCACCCTGAGCCTGGCTTCGGCTGCGGAGGGCAGGATATAAATAAAAATTTATTATTATTATTATTAACCCTAGTGTACAGAGGCTGGCAACTGCTCTCCAGAGTCTGAGAAGCCTTTTCCCTTGGGGGTGCCAGGGACCTTCTGCAAGCAAAATGCGTGCTCCCTCGTGCGCTGGCAGCCCATTCCCAGCTCTCTTGTGAAGGCTCAGTAGGATTAAAAGTGGAAAGCGACAGTTCTGGGAACAATTAACCCATAGGAAATGACTCGCCTTGACATGCAGCCGGGCATCTGTTTCAAACTCCACGCTGAGCTGCAGCTTCACAACATCTCTTGGGTAATAGGTCTTTGCCTTCCTGGTCAGAAATCCTCGCACTCCCAGCTCAGTCTCATTCAGGCTGCCCAAGGTGTAGCTGGGGAAGTCAGGTGGGTAGAAGCACCAGGGTACCCCCCTCGCGCTGCCTGAAGGCCAGTCACCATCGACAAAGCAGCATCCCCGGGCCTCGCACAGCTCCCGCGTCACGACTGTGCTTCTCTCCGGGAAACAGTCAAAGCGGAGGCTCTCTGGGATGGAGACACACTTGGTCAGGGGCGGCGTTCCGTGCTGACCCCACCAGATCTGCCCGAGAACCCAGACGGTCACCCCGCTAAGCAGGGCAGCCACCGTCAGGAGGCCCCCACCCAGCCACCAAGCAGACAACTTCTGATGACACAACGGTTTCCCATCATCCTCTCCGGATTCTGTGATCTGGGGGACGTCTGCCGTCAGCTTCTGATAGGACTTCATTTTCTGCGTGCTGGATGAGGAAGGAGAAAGGAAGAAGAAACCCACTGTGACAATATTTCTCTTATTCGCAACCACAGGAACTGAAGAAATAAGCGCAGAATGTTATCTACCACCACTCCAGTAACTTTGACATTAGGCTACTGCGATGCACTGTACAAGAGACGGCCTTTGAAGACTATTCAGAAAGTTCACACAGCCAAAAGTGCAGCTGCTGAACTGTTGACTGGATCAATAAAACTGAGCACATCTTGCCAGTTTTTAAACAGCTTCCCTAACTGCCAGCATCTTTCACAAGCGTGGAAACTGAACATGAGCCTATAAAGCTGTTTAAGATCTTTAATTCCAAGTGTGGTTTTTAGGCTTTAAAACAAGGATGGGAAACCTGTGAACCTCCAAACATTATCGGACTCCAACTCCCATCAGCCCCAGCCAGTGTGGTCAATGCACAGGGATGATGGGAGTTGTAGTACAACAAAATTTCTGAAGGAGTACAGGGTCCCTATTCCTGCTATAGTAACTGACACAAAGAAAGTAGGAAATTAAGTAGAGTGTCCTAAGAAGCAGTTTTGGGATGTGTGGTTTTTAACTTGTTTATATAAGATCGAGAGTTACAGGTGAGAAATGAGGTGGTCACATTCACTGACAATATTCAATTGTTCAGGAAAAAGCTCCAAAAGGACTTTTCCAAACTGAGTGAATGGGTGGTAGAAACATGAATGCCAAGCAATGTAAACACATGTAAGGTGCTGCATGTCAGGACAAAAGAAATTAATTTCACGTATAAGATCTAAACTATCAGTGACTGACCAGGAATGAGATGGGCCATTGGCCTGCTTATGTCCTTGTTAGCATCTCAATGCCCTACTTGGTTTTACCAGTCTTGAGGGCAGCAGCTTTAAAAAGCAACATATACACACATGTCAAACAACCTTGCCGTCACCCTGTGCTTCCTTATTTACTGCAGCTAGGCTTACCTCTTGGGAGAGCTAAAACAAATCCACCTCCATGTGTTTGCGCTTGATAATAGTAACAGCAGGATGGCACTACCGCAAACCTCCTAGAATAAGCTCTTGTATTTGTTTTCAGCAGAATATTTTTTTGAGTCTGCTCCCAGAAACACCATGAGCTGGATTCCATGGCTTATATGCCTGGGCTGCATTCTTAGCTGTGGCAAACAGTAATGCTGTTTGCTTTTTAGAGGTTGAGTTTGTTTTTTGTTGCGCAACAATTGTTAATTATTCCTGCCTGGTTTTTTTAAAAAAGTTTTTATTTGAAACATGTGTTTTTATTTTTTGTGTGTGCACTGCCTGGAGACCGCCTGGTATTTAGGAAACAGCAACAAAATTGATGATGGTGATGATAAGTAAAAGCCTGCCTACTAACAGAACAATTTGTAAGTGTCCTTTACTTGCAACAGAAGCAGCGTAAACACTTCACAACCTAAGGTTACTTCTGAGTAGACCTGCACTGGCTGTGCTTTAAGTTTCATAGAATTTGCCCCCCCCCCAAGTACATACAGGGCCACACAGAAAAGCCATTATTGCAAGGTGCAAAATTCAGCACTATCACTCTAGGGCAGAACTTGCTACCTTTCCCCCAATCAGGGCTCTTGAACATACTCTGTCTCTGTTTTTCAGGCGTTGTTCTATCACACACACACACCCTTTGATTTATTTGATTTCACTGCAGAGAAAAAGAAAGCGAAAGTGTTTTCGTGCTTTCCTACTGTGGCAAAAATCCAAAACAATTGTTTTAAAAGCTTTTTTAGAAGAAGAATTCAAATATGCAGACATCCCAAATCAATCTGATTTAATAAAATGAAACAAACATAACATAAATGAACGGGGGGGGGGGCAGGGCAGTGTCTGTTATACCACAAAGAAAAGGGTACTGAGCAACCTTAAAAGACTGACATAACTTGTTTACGTCTAAAAAGAGTTGTATAAGACTATACTGCTATTGTGAAAGAACAAATAAGAGACCCCTTCATTAGATCTATGAATTGTTATTCTCACTTGGCAGATTTTACACAGAATTGTAGAGCAGGAAAGGACCCCAAGGGCCATCTAGTCCAACCCCCTGCAATGCAGGAATCTCAGCTAAAGCATCCATGACAGATGGCCATCCAACCTCTGCTTAAAAACCTCTAAGGAAGGAGAGTTCCACCACCTCCCGAGGGAGTCTTACTGTCAGAAAGTTCTTCCTAGCATTTAGTCAGAATCTCCATACTTTTCTGTTTGGATCCTACCCTCCAAAGCAGCAGAAAAGAAGGTTTCTCCATTTTCCATGTGACATCCCTTTAGATTATTTGAAGATGGCTCTCATATCTCCCCTTGACCCAACTCCATCAACTGTTCCTCATAAGGCTTGATTCTCTGGCCCTTTATCATCTTGGTCATCCCCCTCTGCACACATTCCAGCTTGTCAATATCCTTCTTAAACTATCGTGCCCAGAACTGGACAAAGGACTCCAGGTGGCGGTTTGACCATAACTTGTGCACACAAAGAAAAATGTTGCAAACAGCAGGCTGATTTGTAATAATAATAATAATAATAATAATAATAATAATAATAATAATAATTTATACCCAGCCCATCTGGCTGGGTTTCCCCAGCCACTCTGGGCGGCTTCCAACAGAATATTAAAATAAAATAGTCTATTAAACATTAAAAACTCCCCTAAGCAGGGCTGCCTTCAGATGTCTTCTAAACGTCTGGTAGTTTCTCTTTGATATCCAGTGGGAGGGCGGGTGCCACTACCGAGAAGGCCCTCTGCCTGGTTCCCTGTAACTTGGCTTCTCGCAGCGAGGGAACTGCCAGAAGGCCCTCAACACTAGACCTCAGTGTCTGGGCAGATTGATGGGGGTGGAGACGCTCCTTCAGGTATACTGGACCGAAGCCGTTTAGGGCTTTAAAGGTCAACACCAACACTTTCAATTGTGCTCGGAAATGTACTGGGAGCTAGTGTAGGTCTTTCACTGTAATTGACTGCAGCACTACAATAGCCCTGGCAATTACTATTATTTTGGCCATCTGTTATGGATGCCCTAGCTGAGACCCCTGCATTGCGGGGGGGGGGGTTGAAGCTTGGATTCCCTTCCAACTCTACAATTCTATGGTAATATTGTATCTGATGTGGTTTCTAACCCCGCCCCCGAAACACCAGCCTTTAAGAAGTCTCTTCTTCCCCCTCCCCTCCACTTCAACAGAAACAAAACCATCAGGAAACACATGCGCTTTGCCGACACGAGACCACCCAGCTCCATTCACCCGCTTTTCCCGCGCTTCCTTCCCCCGCATGAATGAACATTCCTCAGTGGGCGGGGCTACGCCAAGTACGGCGGGTGGGTGGGAGCGAGGAAGGAAGAGCCGGGAGGTGGAGGAGGAGGAGGGAGAGAAGCAGGAGCGAGAGGGCGTGGCTTTGGCTCCCTTGCCCCGCCCCAGGCTCGCTGACGTCCGCCGTGGCGAGGCTCGGGTGACAACCCGTCCCCGGAAAACGGCCCGAGCCCCGATTGGCCAGGCGGCTCGAGAGGGAGGAGGAGCTTCGGCGCGCGCTTGTTGCTGTCGCTGTTCTCCCTCCCGGCCTCCCCTCCCCTCCCTCCCTCCCGTCCCCGATGGGGGCGGGGAGGAGAACTTGACTTTCACTCACTCGCGGCACGCGCGCGCCAGGGAGAGGAGGCCAGAGCGAGGCCGCTGCGCTGAGGGGAGGCGAGGCGCGAGCCCGGCCGGCCGTTGCGAGGCCCCTTCGCCAGTTTTCGTCTCACGCTTCTCTGTCCGGCGGGTAGAAGGGGGGGGGGAGAGTAGCCGCGGGTGCGCGCGCGCGCTCCCGCCCTCCCGCCCGCCTAGTTCAAGGTAAGGCAAGCGAGCGACTGACTGACTGGAGTAGCGGCGGTTGGCGGCGGCGGCGGCGCGGCTTTGTTGTTTCGTGAGGGGAAGAAAAACAGAGGCGAATTCGGTTGGACCGCTGAGGGGACGGAGGGAGGTCCGGGATTGGGCCGCGCGCTGGGCCGGCTCGCGCATGCGCCGCCTTGTGGAAGGGAGGGGGAGGAGCCTAGATGGGAGGGGTCAGAGAGAGAGAGAGGGGAAAGGCTAAAGGGAGGAATTTGCTGAGTCATTGCTGGAGCCAAGCACGTGGTGGCAAAATAAAGTCTGCCACGCCATATCTATCTATGTAGGTATGAAGTTCTCTCTCCCCTCTTCCCTGCTCCTGTGTGGATCAGAGTTCGTTTGACTTTTAGAGGACATCTGAAGGCAGCCCTGTTTAGGGAAGCTTTAATGTTTAATAGGTTATTGTATTTTAATATTGTGTTGGAAGCTGCCCAGTGTGGCTGGGGAAACGCAGCCAGATGGGCGGGGTACAAATAATAAATTATTATTATTATTTTATTTTGGGAGGGGAAGCTGGTCCATTAGTAGGGGGGCGCTGCCTGTCACCTTCAGCCCACCACCACGCCTCGCTCTCACCCCACTTTCTTCTTTGCAACTAACCATCACGGGGAGCTCACCCCTCCTCCTTAGAATGATATAGGAGGAGGAGGAGGAGGAGTTTGGATTTGATATCCCGCCTTTCACTCCCCTTCAGGAGTCTCAAAGCGGCTAACATTCTCCTTTCCCTTCCTCCCCCACAACAAACCACTCTGTGAGGTGAGTGGGGCTGAGAGACTTCAGAGAAGTGTGACTGGCCCAAGGTCACCCAGCAGCTGCATGTGGAGGAGCGGAGACGCGAACCCGGTTCCCCAGATTAGGAGACTACCGCTCTTAACCACTACACCACACTGGATAAAAATAGCGTTTTTATCCTGCCCCTTCAACATAGGTTTATGTTCACAGGTGGCTAGCAGATTAGTAACAAACTAAACAGTTTATTCATGATGATGAATAAACAAAGCACACATACTAAAGTTGGGATAGCTTAGTCAGTGGAGCATGTGACTCTTAATCTCAGGGTTGTGGGTTTGAGACCCTTGTTGGGCAAAAGATTCCTTCCTTGCAGGGGGGGTTGGACTAGATGATCTTTGTGGTCCTTTACAGCTCTACAATTATATGATTCTACGAGGCTAATTGGGATGCGGGTGGTGCTGTGGGTTAACCCACTGTGCCTCTTGGGCTTGCTGATCAAAAGGTTGTGGTTTGAATCCCCATGACGGGGTGAGCTCCCATTGTTCAGTCCCAGCTCCTGCCAACCTAGCAGTTTGAAAGCACGTCAAAGTGCAAGTAGATAAATAGGTACCACTCTGGTGGGAAGGCAAACGGCGTTTCCATGCGCTGCTCTGGTTTCTCCAGAAGTGGCTTAGTCATGCTGGCCACATGACCCGAAAAAACTGTCTGCGGAAGTGGACAAATGCAGCTACCTCAGCCTTTAAAGTGAGATGAGCACCGCAACCCCAGAGTTGTTCACGACTGGACTTAATTGTCAGGGGTCCCTTTACCTTTTATGAAGCTAATACAGCAAATTCAACCAACAAACTTAAACAGCAGCAACCAATACAAATAAATTGTAAAATTGAACTGCTCTAAGTTAGTGAATGCTTACATTAACAGCTCTTAAAAGCCTCAAGAAATTGATATAACGACTATAATTTCAATCGAAATACATTTTGTCGTGAAGAACAATGTGGCCAGGTGACCTTTCTGCTGCTCAGCTGCTAATGTTAATGGGCACCTTCAATACTTTCCTTTGTCTTCCTTCTTATGATTTCTTCTTTGCATTGTACCTGAATGGGACAGACTTTCAAATACATGACTCTTCAGATTCTGATACAGAGGATTGTCCTCTGTGAAGGAGGACACATAGTCACTGTAGCCTGTAAGGCTATTTTATGCTCCCCAAATGTTGCTGCTTTTCAAACTGGCATACGGTAAAGTATCTATATAAATGTATTTATTGCACACCAGAGCAGTTCAAGAAGCCAGAAGGCAAGACTTTATCTCTGTTATATTATTCACTGTAATAATATGTTCTATTTCATTTGTCTCCCAACTGCACTTGAAGAAGCTAAGGATAACATACACACAGCCATGCCCGCCCCCCGCTCTGAACCTCCAAATTTTGCAACAACCCTGGTGCTTGTCAAAAGGAGAGTGACAAAAATTGGGAAGGGCATTGAGACAAGGTCCTGTAAGGAAAGGGTAAAGCAGTTTAGAAAAACAATAATAATTATATTTGTATACTGCCCTTCATCCAAAGATCAGAGGGCAGTTCACAACATCAAAATACAAAACAAGAACACAATAAAATGTTCAGCCTGTAGAAGATATTATGAAGAGGTAGTCTGACAGCCTTCTTAAGATATTGGAAAGCTGTCAAACAGATCACAGAGCAAAGGATGTGGATGAACTTCTTGGCCACACAAGCTGTTTGATAGTTGAATAGATGGCTTGCAATGTGGCAGACTTTCTATTACAAGATTTTACACAGAGGCTGGGTGGTCGATCACCTATCAGGGATGCTGTAGCAGTGACTTTACTGCACCAGCAGGGGCTTGGACTGGATGACCTTTGACACCCCTTCCGATGCATATTTTTGGCATAGAGAATGGTCCATGGTCATCAGGGAGCTTCCTGGCTTAATGGGGAGCTGACCTATGCCCACCTGGTTCTAGCTTGTCACACTAACTGCTACACCATACATACAATATTCTGTATAAAATACTTCTTAACTACAACTACCACATTGTAGAACTGCATAGACAGCCTGCATATATGATTGCTACATGCTCTTGATCTCTTAGGTAAAACCACAAATGTCACACCAGCTCAGATACCGCTTTCACTGCCTACCCCTACATGCTTACGTGAATCATTTTGTGGTTCAGAGACACCATAAAAGGAGGCAAAGGGAGAAACCCTATTATCTTCCAACTTACAGGTGTCTCTGTAGGGCGCATGGAGGTGATACCTAGGTTATTTCAAGCAAATAGCTAGTTTTATGCCTGTGTGATATATGTGTGCGCCTGTAGAAGCTTGTGAGAGCAGAGACCTACCGTTTTGCTTATGTTATACTGTAAAGCATTAGATAGATTAGATTTTCTGACACCTTAAAAGTGCAACACTTAGTGGCATGTGAAATGTCTCCCCTCTATTGGC